GTGTCTATCCACTCAAGTCCCCTCCCTTGGGTTTTGTGCTCACTCCATGAGGTCTGGGTGTAAATGGGAACTGAGTTCAGTGAGTTCAGTTGCTCAATGGGTTCGTGTGCACTGGAAAGAAAAGACTTCACAGTGCTTCTAAGAAACTAACACTGAGCTCCGACGTTCGGAGAGGGTTGTGAGGCTAGAGAAGCTGGGAAATATTCTTTTATGACACTGGGATTTTAATTTAGGGCCTTGAATTTGCTAGGCAGGCGTTTTACCATTTGAGCCATGCTTGTAGCCCTAGGAGATGTTTTTGCCTAAGGCCTTTCCTTCCTTCTTTCCTTTCCTTCCTCCCCCGCCTCTTTCTCCCTCCTCCTCCTTCCCTCTCTCCCTCCCTTCCTTCTTTCCTTCTCTTTTTGCGAAGGGTGTCCCTGTGTAGCTGAGGCTGACCTCAAACTTGCCATATTCCTGCCTTAGCCTCCCAAAGGCTAGGATCACCATGTCGATTGAGAAGGTCACTTTCAGATATTTAAAAGTATAACAACAACAACTGGTACTGCTGGTTCACATCTATAATGCAAGCTTCTTGGCAGGCTGAGATCTAAAGATCACAGTTCAAAGCCAGCCCTGGTATACAAATCCAAAAGATTCTTCAGTTAACCATCAAAAAGCCAGTAGAGTAGCCAGGAGTGAAAACAGCTAAGAGGGTGAGTTCAAGCTCTATCGCACACACACACACATATAAATATTAAAGTGTAAAAGACTGTCGTATTGAAAAAGTCATTTTGGGGTACCCAACAGAAGTAAGGAACACAGAATGATCTCTATAGGAAGATGAGTCAGAGCGGATTGAAGAGATGGACCAGTGGTTGCACTGGACCACTTATGGATGCTTCCAGCTTCCGTGAAGTCTGTGGGGTAGGAAGGTGTTCTCAGGGAAACTCAGTCATCACCTGACTCTCTCTGCTTTAGCTCCACCCACAGGGGGCAGGAAGTCTGGGGCTGAGGCCCAGCCCCTACCTGCAGCCGTCCCCCTTCCCCAGGGTCCTGCAGGGAGCCTGTGCCTCTTCTCGGTGCCAGTGGGCAGTGAGGATGCCCCTGCTTGGAGCCACGCTATTTCCCAGCATTGCATGAGCCCCGTTACCATTCCTAGGAGAGCAAAACCGTATCCCCACTTCCAGCAGGGGACCCCAGGGCCCGGGGCAGGCAGAATGTCTCGTCCAAGCCTCCCTGCAACGAGTGCCCAGCAAGACCTGGGCTTCTTCCTCAGACCCGATGAGGATGGAGGATGGGCTCCAGTGGGTGCCCGGGCTGGCGGCACCGTGGCCCGCTGGCGTGTAGGTGGCAAACCCCATGAAGATCCCCTGCCCCCCACAACTAAGCCCAGGGAAGCAGCCCTCCTTGTAGCACCCCCTCCTCCTTTGAGGGTACCGAGAAAGGTTGGGGACCCTTGCATACTCAGTCCTCCATTTCCAAGGACCAAAAAGAATTATTCAAGGAAAAGATGGCACTGGGGCTTGAACTCAGGGCCTGGGCACTGTCCCTTAGCATTTCCACTGAAGACTGGTGTTTTGCTACGTGAGCCACACCTTTTCTTGTGGCTTTGGGTAGTTAAGTGGAGATAAAAGAGTCTCACAGACTTTCCTGCCTGGGCTAGCTTCCAACAGTGATCCTCAGATCCCAGCTTCCTCAGTAGTTAGGATTACAGGCATGAGCCACTGGTGCCCAGCCTGACCCTGTTGAGATTGTTTTTTAAGAAAGGGTTGTGGAGCCTGGTGCCAGTGGCTCTTGCCTGTAATCCTAGCTATTAAAGAGGCTGAGATCTGAAGATTGAGATTTGAAGCCAGCCCAGGTAAGACAGTCATGAGACTCTTACCTCCAAAAAAGCCAGAAGTGGAGCTGTGGTTCAAATGGTAGAATGCTAGGCTTGAGCCAAAGAAGCAGTATGCATGCGCGTGCACACGCACACACGAAATTTTAAGAAGGAGGAGGAAGAATGGGAGAGAGAGAGAGGTGAGATTGATCGGGGTGGATTTTCCACATTTGTGGAAATGTCACAATGGAACTCTCCCTATACAAGGAATATATGCTAATTTTTAAAAAAGAGGCTTGGAAGGTGGCTCAGTGGTAGAGTGCCTGCTTGCATGCATGAGGCCCTGGGTTCGATTCCTCAGAACCACATAAGCAGAAAAAACCAGAGGTGGAGGTGTGGCTCAAGTGGTAGAGCACTAGCCTTGAGCTGAAGAGCTGAGGGACAGCGCCTAGGCCCAGAGTTCAGACCCCATGACCGACTAAAAATTAAAAAAATTAAAAAAAAAACCATTTAAAAAGAAAGCTGGGCATTAGTGGCTCACGCCTGTAATCCTAGCTACTCAGGAGGCTGAGATCTGAGGATTGTTTTTCAAGCCAGCCCAGGTAGGAAAGTCCATGAGACTTTTATCTCCAATAATCTACTCAGAAAAAGCCAGAAGTGATACTATGGCTCAAGGGCTAGCCTTGAGAAAACACACACACACTCTCACACTCACATTCACACACCAAGCTAGGCACCAGTGGCTCACGCCTGAAATCCTAGCTTCTCAAAAGGCTGACATCTGAGAGTCGAGGGTCAAAGCCAGCCCAGGCAAGAAAAGTGTGTGAGACTCTTGTCTCCAATAAGCCACTAGAAAACCAGAAGTGGTGCTGTGGCTTAAGTGGTAGAGCACTAGCCTTGAGCTGAAGAGCTGAGAGACAGTGCCCAGGCCCAGAGTTCAAGCCCCACAACCTACCAAACAACAACAAAAATAACAAACAAAAAAGATTGCTTGAATCCAGGAGTCGTAGGCCAGCCTAGACAAAATAATAGAGCTTAGATACCAAAAATATATATATATATATATTTTTTTTTTTTGCAGAGAAAAAATTTTTTGGTACATATTTTTCCTTGTCATTATTCCCTAAACTGTGAAACAAGTGTTTGCATCATGTTTGAATTGTTTGGCATCATAAGTAATCACAGCTGACTCAAAGGCCTGCAAGGCGCCTGCCTGGTATCCAGCTCCAGGAGGCTCAGCATGAGTTTCAGGCCAGCCTGGATTCCACAGGGGGACTCTGGGTACTAGTGGCTCATGTCTGAATCCCAGCTAGTCAGGATGCTGAGATTTTAGGGTCAAGGTTCAAAAGCCAGCCCAGGCAGGAAAGTCTACGAGCTTCTTTTTTATTTTATTTAATTTTATTGTCAAGGTGATATACAGAGTCTATGAGATGCTTATCTCCAATTAACCACCAGAAAAAAAACAACAACAACAGAAGTGGAGCTGTGGCTCAAAGTGGTAGAGCACTAGTCTTGAGCAACAAAAGCGGGACAGCACCCAGCCCTGAGTTCAAGCCCCATGACTGACCAAAAAGAGAGGAGAGACAGAGGGGGGGAGAGAAAAGAAAGTCCACAGGGAAGATGTATATGAATTATTGGCAAACAGTATGCCATTTTATAAAGGGATTTGAGCATCCACCGATTTGGTACCTGCAGGGGGTCCTGGGACCAACTTCCATGATAGCAAGGGACGCCCGTACTGACACAGCCTTTACACACACAAGTCGTGTGCAATCTCAGGAGACCTGGGGCCTCTGAAGCCCACCTCTGGGCCCCAGGCTATGAACCCATGCTCCACTCATCTCTAGGCATCAGAGTGGGTCTCGGTCCCCGTGGTCCCGGGACTGGGTGGACAGGTGTCCCATATTCCAGCACACAGTGTTGCACTGGATCAGACTTCCAAGAACCCACTGAAGGAACAGGGCGGCCACCCGCAGGGTGAAGGTTAAGCGAGCTCCAGTCTGTGCCCGCCTGCGTGAGCAGGGGTGTCCCACACACGCCCATGCTCATGTGAACCGGGTGAGGCTCTGGGAAGGAGTCTGTCTGGCCTTCTCTGACGCCCATGACACTTCTGAAGACAGTTGTGAGAGGAGAAGTGAAAATCGCTAGATTTTAAAAATAGGTTATAGGAAATGGAATTACACTCAACTCCCAAGTATTCAGAAAACATTTATTAGAAGCTGAAGAAGCACTCTGTCTAGTGGGGAGACACACACACACACACACAAACTGTGGAAGCGGGGGGGGGGGCGCTCACACCTCTAATCCTAGCTACTCAGGAGGCTGAGATCAGAGGATCGAGGTTTGAAGCCAGCCCAGGCAGGAAAGTCCATGAGACTCTGATCTCCAATTAACCAGCAAAAGACTAGAAGTAAAGCTGTGGCTCAAGTAGTAGAGTGCTAGCCTTCAGGGAAAAAAAGAAAAAAAAGCTCGATGGCCACCGGTGACTGGTGCCAGTAATCCTAACTATTCAGGAGGCTGAGATCTGAGGATCAGGGTTCAAAGCCAGCCTGGGCAGGAAAGTCCATGAGACTCTTGTCTCCAATTAACCACCAGAAACCAGGGAGTAGCACTGTGGTTCAAGTGGTAGAGTGGTCTCTTTGAGCTGAAGAGCTCAGGGACAGCTCCCAGGCCCAGAGTTCAAGCCCCAGTACAAACACACATACTGTAGATTATTATAAGACTTTGTACCTCTAGGCAAGTCCTCTACCACTGAGCTACAACCTGATTACCCACCCACCCCTGATTTTTAACTTTAATATTTACCACTGATTTGAAAATAATGTCTGCTTTCTTACCATGCCTCTTGAGCGTTAGACTATGACCTATTTGAGGTCCTTTCCCTGGACCTACCAAAGACTGACTACAGCAAAGAGCCTTTAATTAATAGCACTGTAGGTTAGACTTCAGGAAGAACTTTCTCCCAGTTGAGGTTGAGAGCTTGTGACATTGCTTGAAGAAGATGAACCTCTTCCTAGGAGAAGCCAGATGCAGAGGACAGCATCCTGCCTGGAAGTGAGGGACATTCAAGATGGCCCCTGACACACACAAGCACACACGTGCGCTTGCACACACACATACCCTATGGGAAGAAGGGATCAGAGAGAGCCTGACCCCCTGCATTTTCCCTGTGCCCGCCCTCCCCCCGGGTCAGGAAAAACACATGGGTGATGCCAGTGTCTGCGCATTTTCCACTTGTGCTTCTTCTTTGCAGTCAGGACAGTTCAACGAGGACATGATCCCCACCGTGGGGTTCAACATGCGCAAAATCACCAAAGGGAACGTGACCATCAAGGTGAGGGGCTGGGAGGAGAGCGGGGAGATGAGGGGGCGGGAGGGGAGGGGGCAGGTGGGGGCCTGGGTTGCCTGCCTGTCCTGAGGCTCTGTCTCCTCTTGTTCAGCTTTGGGACATTGGGGGACAGCCCCGGTTCCGCAGCATGTGGGAACGCTACTGCCGAGGAGTGAGTGCCATTGTGTGAGTATGGGCACCCCTGTCCCCAGCGTCTTCCTCTCCTTCCTGGCTTCCCCAGCCAGCACCTCAGGCTGGACACAGAATCACCTTAGACATCCCCCTGCCTGCTTCTGACCTCCATCTGGCGGTGTGTTTCGCATAAATGGTCCCCGCCACCTAATCTAAGATCCTGGCCTCAACCAGCCAAGGCTGCGCAGGGCACTTCCTCATTGTCTCCTTGTCTCCCCAGCGCAGACCACTGTGTCTTAGATTTTTGTGTGGTTTAAATGATGGTTAAAAATAACCTTTATGCTGTAGCGACTCAGGAGGCTGAGATCTGAGGATGATCATAGTTCAAAACCAGCCTGGGCAAGAAAGTCCGTGAGACTCTTATCTCCAATTAACCACCAGAAAACTGGAAGTGGCGCTGTGGCTCAAAGTGGTGGTAGAGCACTAGCCTTGAGCACAAAAGGTCAGGGGCCGTGCCTAGGCCCTTGAGTACAAGCCCCATGACCAACAAACAACAATAAAAAAAAATTAGCAGGACATAGGTAGCTCACAACACACCAGAAATCCTCGCTACCCAGGAGATGGCCATTGGGAGGATCTTATTCAAGGCAAAAAAAAACCAGAATTCCATCTCAACAGAGAAAACTGGACATCGTGATATGCGCCTGTCCTCTGGGCGACAGTGGGAAGCATAATAAGAGGATCACTGTTCAGGCTAGCCCAAGGAAAAGGTGAAAGTATCTCACAACTAACCAGAGAAAAAGGGCTGGAAGTATGGCTCAAGTAAACACCATTACAACCAAAAACAATTTTTCATCAGCCAAATGTTGTGGTGCATACCTATCATTCCAGCTATTGAGGAGGAAGAGATTGGGAGGATCAGTTTAAGACTCAGCCAAAAAACTGGGTGTGTTGATATGCATCTGTAGTCCCAGCCACAAAACAGGAATAAGTAGGAAGATCCACACCAGCCCCAAGAAAAACCTCAAGACAGTCTCTAAGAAATGATAAACAAGCCAGGTGCTGGCAGCTCATGCCTGTAATCCTAGCTACTCAGGAGGCTGAGATCTGAGGATCATGGCTCAAAGCCAACCAGAGGAGGAAAGTCTATGAGACTCCTATCTCCAGTTAACCACCAGAAAACCAGAATTGCTGCTGTGGCTCAAAGTGGTAGAGCGCTAGCCTTGAGCAAAAGAGCTCAAAGACAGTTCAAGCCCCAGGACTGAGTGGGGGGGAACCTGAACGTTTTTTGGGGGGTGCTGGGAATTCTGTGGTAGAGCTCTTCTTGCCTAGCACCAGTGATGCTCTAGATTCAATCTCCAGCATCACAAACAAAAAAGAGAAAAACAAAAACAATGCATTCCCAAACAATAGATTGTTTAGTTTTCTTGATAGACTAAACAATAGATGGTTTTAAAACATTTAAAAGTAATGCATCTTGTTGCAAGAAAACCATGGGAGGTTCCCTTGCTTTTTCTGCTCTAATCAGACGTAACCGCAAAGCACTAGCAGGTGCATTGGGTGGGGCCTGGAGGCCCCAGCTTCCCCCCCCCCCCAGGACAGGACCAGGGCACCCTCAGAACCGCCTGCTGCCTTACGCCATCGGCCATAGATTCAGAAAGCATTCCCTGAGCGGGCCCAGGGTACTCTTAGCTACAGGGGTGACTGGTTTGGCAACAGAGGTGTTATGCCCCAGCAGCAGCCCTCTTCTTGCCCTGGTGTCCACATGCTGGCCCTGCTTCCCTTTCCCAGATACATGGTGGATGCTGCTGACCAGGAGAAGATCGAGGCCTCCAAAAATGAGCTTCACAATCTGCTGGACAAGCCACAGCTGCAGGGGATCCCGGTCAGCAGGGGATGGGGAGGGAGGGAGGAAGGGAGCTGGCCGGAAGTCACTGGCAGCTGACCTAGGCAGAAGCTGCATTGCTGGAGTGCTCCTGATCTAACCATCCTTCGTCCCTTCTCCTCAGGTCTTAGTCCTGGGGAACAAGCGGGACCTCCCAGGAGCACTGGATGAGAAGGAGCTGATTGAGAAAATGTGAGTTTGGTGATTTTTCTTTGTACTTCTACTCCCCTCATCTTCCAGCTGCCTGACTGTAGGGCTGGGCTCCTTGCAGTTCTCAGTGTTAGCCACCTGGTGGCAGCAGAGCACAAGTTTCCAGGCGCCTCGCCCTCCTCATTGTAGCCCCTAGAGCCAGAAAAAGACCCTGCCCACCTCTGGCCCAGCCCCCTGGTAGCTCCAGCTCCCACAGAACTTCTTTGGTCTCCCCCCACTAGGAATCTGTCTGCCATCCAGGACCGAGAGATCTGCTGCTACTCCATCTCCTGCAAAGAGAAGGATAACATCGGTACGTGAGTCTGTAGAGTTGCTGGCATTGCCACGTGGCTGTAGGGAGAAGAAAGACCCTTCCCTATCTCAGCCTGGTGCTCTTGAAGCTTCCACTGGCTGCTTGCCCATAGCCCAAAGCTTTGTGGCCCTTCCGTGTGGATCAGGCAGCCAGGGGGTGGAGTCCTGAGCGTGACCCTGGCTCTGCCGGTGCCCCGATTCTCCACCACCTGCTTGAAAAGGCTGTTTGGGGGGGCCCATGCTCTGGGATTCGGGTGCTTGCTAAAGTTTGGGGGTACCTGGGCTTTCCGCCACCCTCTCTCCAGGCACCTTGTCTGCTCCCCCAGCATGCACTGCATGGAGAGGCCTGGGGCTGGAACTCAGAGCCTGGGCACTGTCCCTGTGCTTCTTTTGCTCAAGGCTAGCACTCCACCACTTGGCCACCGGTCCACTTCCAGCTTTTTCTGCTTGTACTGAGGAATCAAACCCAGGACTTCATGCATGCTAGGCAAGTGCTCTACCACTGAGCCACATTCCCAGCCCATAACCTTCTCTTTGTCCCCACCCAGACATCACCCTACAGTGGCTTATTCAACACTCGAAGTCACGGAGAAGCTGAGACCGAGGTCCTTCCCCTTGGACCAGGGACGTGGTCACCTAAACCTGAAGCCGAGCTCCCCGCCTCCTCCGCGCCCACCCCACCCCCAAGCCCGCCCTCCTCGCTGAGCGTGGGGAGGGCCCTCGGGGCTCCCAGAGCCCCATTCTGCTGAGGTTTGAACTCCTGTTTTTATTGTAAAATAAATTGCCCCTCCCCTCTGGTCCCCTAACTGGTCCTCTCCCCCTCTCTCTGTGTCCCTTCACCTGGCCCCGCCTCTGTCCCCTCTCAACAGCCGTCACCCCCAACCCCTGCCCCCTTCGCTTTCCCTGTCCTCTCTTCCCCTTTCAGCACTGTTATTGTCCTGTGTGTACAGTATATATATGTATATATATTTTAATTTTTTAATTTAAGCAAAGACTAAAATCACCCATTTGATGCTGCAGGGGCCTGGGATTTGGGATCTGGGAGAGGGCAGTCAGGAGAGCAGAAAAGAAGGGAGGGTTGGCAGGGAGCAAGTTCAGATTTGGAAGGTGGCACCCGGGGCGCTGCCCGGCGTGGGCACTGGTGGCCACTGCCACGTCCCGTGTGTCTGCCTCTCAGTCTGGCTTGTCCACGCGAGGCTGGGACACCTCAGGCTGGTGGGAGAGCCCGCAGGTGCCCCTCTCTGCCCCCAGTCGTGGCTGGGCCACCAGAGGCCACAGACGGCCAGGCCTAAGGGGCAAGAAGCCGGTGTCCACGCTGCCCTGTGCCCACTCACACATGCCTGCTCCCGGCCCCCAGCTCCTGCCTCTCCCCGGGGCCCCCAGCTCCACGGCCCACCTCATTTTCCGTTCCTATTATACAGCTCCACGAGGAGAGAACTCAGCATGGGGGGTTGGTTCTTTGGGTTCTGTTTTGTTGTTTGTTGTTCATTGGTTTAATTTAATGATTTGTAAAGTGATGTTCCTCTTTTTTTACACTTTTCAGCTCATATTTAACCTCTGTTTGGAAAATGATTCTTGTAACTGTACATTTTTTTTTCTCCTAATAACAACGACGACAATAAATGACCAATTTTGTGTTTGGGGGCGTGTGTAGCACCCGTCATTTCCCGTGGGTTCTGGACTGGCCGGGCTCCTGGAGTGGGGAGCCCCGTCTGCTGGGGACACGTGTTCACACTGGTCACAATGGCCCCTCAGGAAACCACATCCCACACGTGAGTCTGGGTTTTGCGTGGCCTCTTCGGTCTCCGCACATTCCCACGAGGCCTCAGGCTTGAACTGGCAGCTGCTGGCAATACTCAGCAGGTCTTCTGTTTTTTCTTTTTTGTCTGTTGTGGGGCTTGAACTCTGGGCCTGGGTGCTGTCCCTCAGCTCTTCAGCTCAAGGCGAGCGCTCTACCACTTGAGCCACAGCGCCGCTTCCAGTTTTCTGGTGGTTTATTGGAGATAAGAGTCTCATGGACTTTCTTGCCCAGGCTGGCTTTGAACTGTGGTCCTCAGATCTCAGCCTTGTGAGTAGCTAGGATTTCAGACGTGAACCACTGGCGCCTGGCCTTAGCAGGTCTTGTGGAGGAAAGACATGGTAGCAAGGAGGTCAGGGCCGGACACTGCTAGGCTATGACTGAGCCAGCCCTACAGCCAGGTCAGCCCTCAGCACCTCTCCTCCAGACCCTGCACCTCCTTTACAGCCAGGACTACCCCCACTTCCTCAGCTCTGCTCCCCATCGGTGAAGAGGCCTCTACACCTAGCCTGGCCTGCCAAGCCCAGGGTCTTTACTGCCCCTGTGGCCTGCTGGTGTCAATCTGACCAGAGCTCCTCCCCAACTGTCCAGCTGGACCCCACCTGGATCCTCAGCTGTCAGGCTTGCTCCCATCTGAGGCCATCTTGACCCACTTTTATAGTAAGCCCAGCCCCCCTCTCCGCAGCCTCCTCTTCTCCCTAGAAAGTGGAGCAGGTCCTGCCTGCAGAACCTCTCATCCCTTCTGTCCTCTGCCATTGAAGGGAGACAGAGCCTCACTTGTGAGTGAGGCCCTGGGCCTCCCTGAGCCTGAGCCTCCACCCGTGCGGAGGCCTCTTCCTTGGAGGCCCCAGCCAGCCAGCAGAGAAATGCCCAGCCTGTCTGAGGGAAGGTGCTAGGGATGTAGCTTGGTTATGTAGGATGTGTCAGGGCCTGAGTTTGATCCCAGAACCTCCACAAAAAATAAAAATAAAAAAGGAAGGTTGGCCGAAATTCCACAATGGTCTCAGTACCTTCATCTAGTGGAGGAGGCTGAAGACAGCCCAGCTCTCTCTCCTGCCCCTCCCTGGAAGTGGAGCCACAGCTCTACTTCCAACTTTTTAGTGTTTAATTGGAGATAAGAGTCTTATGGCTGGGTGCGGGTGGCTCACACCTGTAACCCTGGCTACTCAGGAGGCTGAGATCTGAAGATCAGTGTTCGAAGCCATCCCAGGCAGGAAAGTCCATGAGACTCTTTTCTCCAATTTACCACTAGAAAACCAGAAGTAGTGCTGTAGCTCAAATGGTAGAGCACTAGCCTTGAACAAAAAAGCACAGGGACAGCGCCTAGCCCTGAGTTCAGTCCCCATGAGGTCTCATGGACGTTCCTGTCCAGGCTGGTTTCAAACCACGATCCTCAGATCTCAGGCTCTGAGTAGCGGGGATGACAGGTGTGCCACTGGCCTCTGGCTTTGTTTGGGGCTGTTTGGTGTTGAAGCAGTAAGAATACCCTGGCCATGCCTACTCCGTAGTACTAGGGATTTGAATTCCCAGAGGGAAGGTGACGGCCACCATGCCAGCTGATGGACTCGTCTTGTCTCATTGGATGACTTGTTCTCGGTGGGAGGGATTACTTCCTGTTCACTGATTGGGAAGCTAAGACTGAGGTGAAGGTGTGATCCCAGGTTAAAAGATAGAGCTCAGCTGGAATGAGGAGATTTTCCCTTGGTCAGAGGTCCCCTCGCCTCCCTGTCTACCCCTCCCCTGACATGGAATCTGCTGGCTGGCCCCCTGCAGTCTGCCTCAGACAGAGTGTCCGCCTTCCCCCACCACCACCCCCCAGCCAGCCTTCCCCCACCCCCCACCCCTGCAAGCCTTGGACCCCTGCGTAACAAACACCACATTGTGTTCCTGCTGGACAGGCTGCATGAACAGTGGCTCTTTCCCAAGGCTGCTGGCCTGCTGCGCAATTCTGCAAGCCCTTCACGTTGGCAGGCCTGGGGGGGTGGGGGAGGAACAGGCCACGGAGCCACCACCTCCCCCTGTAGCTCCCAGCTGGCTGAGCAGCAGGAGGGAGGGGCAGAGGGTGCCCTTTGTGGAAGAGGCCCCCAAACAGATGCTGAGGTGTCCCTCCGCCCTTGAGCCTTCCATCCTCCACCCTCTCCCTCCCAGACTTCACCTTGGTCCACCCGGCCCCCTTCTGCCATTGGTGAGGAAAGGACTGGGAATGGGGGAGGGCAAGCCTGCCTTTGGCCTCCTCTCCCAGCTGAAGTTCCTACAGACAAAGCTGGGGGCTTCCGTCTCTGTGGCAACAGGTCTGCCAAGAAATGGTGGGTGCCATTCCCCATACAAAGGGGTGCACATGGCACTGCTATCACCTAGCAACGGCCTCCCTCTCTCTTGGCGGCGTCACTGACCCCGGGTGGGTGCCAGGGAGAGAGAACAAGGCTGTTAAGATCCTTGGGTGGGGGGTGGGGGGTGACTGGGCCACTGGGCAGGCTGAGGCCGAGGGGTGTGGGTGGCTGGCTGGACAGAGGAGAATGGAGCCCCTGCCATTCCAAATCCCTGGGGCCCCTTGCTGATGGTTGTTCTAGATGGTTCTAGCTGGGCCTTGAGACAGAGTACTGGTGGCCAGGGCTGAGCATCACTTCTGGTTGATGTCCTGCCAGCTTTGTGGGGCCCCCACAGGGCTCAGGGGCCCCTTCCAAGGGCAGAGAGTTGAAGCTGGGGCAGCGGTTGGTGGGCAGTGGCCAGCAGGGGGAGCTGCGGGGGTCTGCTGGGGACGTGGGCGGAGCCCGGGTAGGAAGGGTGGACGGGATGGGGGCAGGCAGGGGACAGGCAGCTGGGCAACTAACTACTGGCCCAACAGTCCCTTCTAAGAAATGAGACAAGAGCTGTTGTCAGATAAGAGAGACCAGGAAGCCCCGTCGCTCACACAAGGAAGGCGGCTGGGAATGAGGGCTTTGTGGAGAGGAAGTGGGTTGGAGGTGTGGGCTTTGGAAGGGAGATGATCATGGCAGCCTTTTCAACTCCCAGTGGCGGCTGGGTTGCAGTCCCCCAGCTCCCCAGCCCTCCCTCTTCTGTGTCCTCCAGAAGCTATAATGCCCTTGGGGTCCTGGGATGGGCCAGCAGCCCATAGGCCGGAGCCAAAGGCTGCCCCAAATCAGTGCCCAGCCCTGGGAGGACATCTGGGCACTGCCAGGCAATGGCCTAAGAAAGTGAGCTTGGCACAGGGGTAGTTCTACCTAGTTTATTGTTCTTCAAGAGGGGCCTTCTATAGGAAAGCACCTAACAAGGGGGGCTGGACAAGGCAGCTTGGGGAGACTCAGAGAAAGGGGAAGAGAGGAACCTTCCAGAAAAAAAAACAAAGGGTGGAGGGAAGCATCCAGGAGTAGAGCTAGTCCAGACAAGAGAGTACCAAGCCTGGTTGGGTAGTCCCAAGGAGCCCTAGGATGGGGCCTGGGCAGGGGGGAGAGGTTTCATGTTCCAAGGGCAAGAGAAGGAAGCAGACCTGCACCCAGAGAGGGCAGGCGAAGGCTTGACTCCCAGCTGATGAGACCCGGCCGCTCATCACCCACCCATGGAAAGGCCCTCGGAATGCCTCGAGAGGCCTGGCTCCGGAGGCACGCCTTGGCTACCCCAGCCTTCCCCCACAAAGAGCCAAATCCATGTCTACGCAGCAAGGCAGGTAGCAAAAGCAAGATCTACGGGGAAAGAATCAGCAGACACTGGCTCAGGCTGGGGTGAGCCCCCCTCACTGTCCCCCCCCGGCTCCTGCGCACCCCTCTTCCCCCTCCCCCAGGGCCCCTTGCTCGGGCCTGGCCTCAGCAAGGCGTGCCCAGGGGCAGGAGCGGGGGTGACTCCCTCGGCTTATGGAAGTAGATGGAGGAGGACACCTCGCTCTTGAGCTTGTTGTCCGAGCCGTCAGTGGGCGAGCTGTCGGAGGCCCCTCCGCACTCCGGGCAGCAGCAGCAGCAGCAGCAATCCAAGAAGGCCTGGCCCAGCGGCCTGCACACGCACAGCAGCAGCACGGGGGTGATGGCGCCC